AGAGTAAAATACTTAAAATAAAACAGCCAATTGTTAACCCATTTTGGATGCCATGTTCTCCTCCAGGGAGACAAATTCCTTGAACTCAAGTCCTCCATGCCTGGACCTTGTCAGACAACATGGTTGGAAGAGGATGTGGCACATGATCAAGTGGGATTTGTCTCAGGGATGCAAGGATAGTCCAATATTTGCAAATCAATAAGTGTAATACACCACATAAACAAAATGAAGACAAAAATTGCATGGTCATATAAATAAATGCTGACAAAGCATTTGATAAAATCCAGCACCCATTTATGATAAAAATACTCAGCAAAATGGGAACAGAGGAAGCATATCTCAACATAATAAAGGCCATATACAAGAAACCTACTGCCAACATCATACTCAACAAGCAAAAACTAAAAGCTTCCCTCTTAAGATCAGGAACAAGACAAGAGTGTCCAATTCTACCACTCTCATTCAACATACTACTAGAAGTTCTAGCCACAGCAATCACACAAGAAAAAGAAAAGAAAGACATTCAAATTGGAAAAGAAGTGAAACTGTCATTATTTGCAGATGACATTATAATGTACATACAAAGCCCTATAGTCTCCACCAAAAAAAAACTACTCAACCTAATAAGTGAATTTGGCAAAATAGTGAGATAAAAAGTCAATATTCAGAAATAGATGGCATATTTGTATACCAACAATGAACTATCAGAAAGAGAAACTAGGGGGAAAATCCATCTACTATAGCAACAAGAAAAATAAAGTACCTAGGAATAATTTTAACCGAGGAGGTAAAAGGCCTGTATTCAGAAACTGTAGAACACTGAAGAAAGAAATTGAGGAGGATACAAGTAAATGGAAGCATATGTCATGTTCATGGATTGGAAGAATTAACATCATTAAAATGTCCATGCTACCCAAAGCAATCTATAGATTCAATGCAATTCCTATCTAAATACCAATGGCATATTACACAGATCTACAACAAATATTTTTTAAATTTATATGGAACAAAAAAGACCCCAAATAGCCTCAGCAGTCTTGAGAAAGAAGGACAAAGTCGGAGGGGTCACAATACCTGATATCAAACTATACTACTATAAGACCACTGTAATCAAAACAGTCTTGTACTGGTATAAGAATAGACATATAGGTCAATGGAAAAGAATAGAGAACCCAGAAATAAACCCATGTCTCTATGGTGAATTAATTATTAACAAATCAGGAATACTCATAAAATGGAGTAAATAAAAATAGCCTCTTCAATAAATGATGTTGGGAGAACTGAACTGGTACATGCACAAAAATGAAACTAGACTACCAGCTTACACCATACACCAGAATAAACTCAAAATGGATAAAAGATTAAATAGAAGTTGTGACACCATAAAAGTCCTAGAGGAAAACATAGGCAGCAAAACCTCAGATATCCAACACAGCAACATTTCTGCTGATACACCTCCTAAGGCAAGTAAAATAAAGGAAAAAATAACAAATGAGACTACATCAAATTAAAAAGCTTTTGCATGGCCAAAGAAACCACCATCAAAATAAAAAAAGAACTGACCATATGGGAGAACATATTTGCCAATGATATATTGGCCAAGGGTTTAAACTCTAAAATATGCAAAGAACTCATACAACACAACACCAGGAAAACAAACAATCCAATTTTAAAAAATGGGCAAAGAACCTGAATAGACACTTCTCCAAGGAGTACATACAGATGGTCCATAGACATATGAAAAGGTGCTCAAAATCACTAGCTTTCAGAGAGATGCAAATTAAAACACAATGAGATACCACCTCATACCTGCCAGAATGGCTGTCATCAATAAATCAAAAAACAACTAGTGCTGATGAGGATGTGGAGAAAAGGGGACCCCTAGTACACAGTTAGTGGTAATGCAGAGTGCTGCAGCCATTGTGGAAAACAGAATGGAATTTCCTCAAAAAATTAAAAATGGAACTGCCTTTTGACCTAGCAATTCCACTGCTGGGAATATGTCCTAAGAATCCAAGTCACCAATTCGGAAGAACTTAAGCACCCCTATGTTCATAGCAGCACTATTTACAACAGTCAAGTGCTGGAAACAGCCTAAGTTCTCATTAGTAAATGAATGGGTAAATAAATAGTGGTACATTTACATAGTGGAATACAATGCAGCAAAAAGAAAGAAGACGCTCCCACCTTTTGTGATTGCATGAGTAGAACTAGAGAATATTATACTAAGTAAAATAATCCAGGTGGAATAATCCAGATTATTTGAAAGACAAATACCATATGTTCCACCTATAAGAGGAATATCGTGAACAAAATAAACTAGCAAGCAAAACAGAACTAGAGGCATAGAAACATGGAACAGACTGACAGTGGTCAGAGGAGAGGGGGGAGGGGATAATGGTAGAAAGAAGGGGAAGGAACTAGTCAAAGAACATGTATGAATGACCCATGGATATAAACAAAAGTGTGGGTATTGATGGTGGGAGAGGGGGATGGATTTGGTGGAAGAGGGCAAAGGGGGAAATATTGGAACTGTAATATAATAACAATAATTTTTTTAATCACCATAATAAAATGGGCAAATGTTTTGAAAGTATCTTCAAAATAAATTCATTGAAGCCAAACACAGCCTTTCACAACACCACCTGGCACACTGACACAGATGGGTTCCTAGAACACTCACATATCGGGAAAAGCCTGTACTACAAAGGGCCTGCCCTCCTGAAGATAATTCTGGGTTGTTTTTTTTTTTTTTGGCCCCTGCCTTGTATAATATATTTAATCCTGATAAATGGTGTAGAGCCCTGATACAGATGTCATCTGACTTAAGTGTCACCTACTTTCACCCAACTTCAGCCCCGAGCTGAGATACTCCTTCCTGCCACTGTACTGGGGCTCACCAAACACTGCTGTGCTGACACTCTGTAATATTCTGCCTTAGCAGCCAGGTCATCTAGTTTCCACCCCTTCCCCATCTGCCTGAGTTGTCAGGTTTCACCCAGCCAGAGTCCTGGGTCCACTCACTTTGTGACCTCTTCATGATGGAATTTTAAGAGTGCTATATCCACTGACTAGGGGTCTGTCCCCCACCCAAACCTATCTCAAGGAATTGCTCACAATGAGGAATGAGTGAGAGCTAGGTGAGTAGACCATGGGAAGGGTCTCTGAAAAGAGCACATAGGAGCTAATCTGACTGGAATTCTCACCAACCAACTTTCCAGACTCCAGATCAATGAGAATGTCCTCCTACCTCTGTGCTGTTCTCCTTTCTGTCTGCTTCACATCCTGACCAGTTGTTGCTCAAAAGAAATACTTACAGGTTGTGTCCTGAGACACTGCTGTTCCTCTTTGGGCTTCCCATGTGAGGTCCCACCTTCAAAACCTCAGGACACCCTAGGCCCAAAGGGGCCTCCCAGGTGTCTAGTCTGATAGTAGAGAGTTTTGTTCCATCTGTATTTGGGGATACAAATCTAAGTAAGTTTGAGACCCTCACACCAAAGCTTTGTTTAGAAATGTTTCTGCAAGATTATTGCTCAAACACATACCCATGTTCTTTGAAACATCTGTTCTTTAAAGTTTTAGGACTAGATGGACATGCTCGGTTCCTAGGCAAAACAAGATTGTGGTCCCCACAAGCTACCAAAGCCACATGATGGCAAAGACTCTGTTCTTTACATGAGGGCTTCCCAAGTGTGGTTGCACCAAAGTGGGGATGCAAAGCCCCACATCTGCTCAGCATGTGAGCAGGCTCAAGGTCTTTATCAGTTCCAGCAGCAGTGATCAGATAAGTGACTGAATTGTGAGAGCTGAATTCACCAGGGATTGATTGATAAAGCAATATCCCCATTAGCTCCCAGCAGGAGGGTTGGCCCTGAGCAAACCCATGCTGGTCATCAGCACTCAGGACACCTAATGGCAAGTTCTCTGCTAGGTGAGCAAAGAACATGAGCCGGGGCAGCTGGATATCTTTCAGACCATTACTTTTCAGCTCTGGTGGCTTGATGAATTGCCTTTCTCCACTGAAAAGATATTTTAGTCTGAAGAACGAGTATAGGTCATCTGAAGTCAGGTCACACACCCTTTGGGCAGCATCAGAGGAAATCTTTCATCTTTCAAATTATTAGTCTCCAGTGTTCCTTTCTTAATATTCTTTATCACTTACCTTATCTTTCAAAAGCCACTGCCATTATGTAATCTCATGTTACAATTTCCTAGATTACCCCTTGTTCTACATTAGCTATATTTGTGATGGCTGCTTCCCAGAACATGAGCAAGGAAAGGTATCTCCCAATCACAATGACTTATGACTTACTGCTTCAAGTCATCATGTTTTCACTGTTGTAGCTTCAATATCTCAGCATGTCATTTCTTAACTTGTTCTCCAGAGGAGACAGCTAGAAGGTAATTGAAAAAGACCAAGAACCAGAACTGGAGTACCTGGTAAGACAATCTCCTTGGCAAAGGTTCTGTACCCACAGTTATAAAATTGAGATAGAAATGTTTTGTGTGCCTATGTTATCAAATGAAAGAGCTCTTTGTAAAACTTAGGTGCTAAATTAGTGTTGGCATTATGACCTGTCTGAGGAGACTTAATGGATTCCAACTCAAGCACACAGACTCTGGGTCTCTCGCTTGTACATTTTGCTGCTTCTCTTAAACCTAGCCAGCAGCAAAGCATGCCCTCCACCCAAACTTCACATTATACTCTGGCAACCAAAGGGGTCAAAAGTATGTGGGGCTGGGAGAAGAAGACAGCAGGTATAGAAATGAGAGCAACAAGATTCAGACTAGCAAGTCCTTCAGTAGTGATCTATTTGGAGAAGGGGGTCTCAGCCAGCACCCCAAGACGCAAACAGAAAGTAACAGAAAATCATTAAATGTTAGCATCTGTAAAATTTGGGTACCCATTACTTTATTAGCTGTAAAATCTTGGAAAATTTACTTGATTTCTCTCAGCCTCATAATAAAGTGGAAATAAAGAACTTACCTACAGGGCTCTCCTGAGAATTTGATAAGATATGTAAGGCCCTTTGGACATAACCTGGCCCATAGAAAATGCTCAACAGACACCGGCTTCCTTCCTTACAAAGCAGTACTTACAGGGCAGCCAAAAATAATTGCCTTCCCTGTTTTGGTCAGAACTAGAGTCACTATCTCAGGATGACAAAGCCAAGCACCCAAATTCCTACATGCTCCTTTAGAAGGCTCTAACATCTATTATTGGTAGAAACTAGGAATACTAAAATAACACGCAAATGTTGTGGGGGAATGGGTGTGTTCATTTTTCTGGAGAGAAGGTCCACAGCTTTTAAAAGTGTCCTGGGCCCATCAAAATGTCAAACATCTCTGCCAAAGAGAATCTACACTTTCAGAAACCAAAGATACATATCTCCAGCCAGGGTAGGGATAGATCTTTTTCTCCAGACTTGAATCTGTGCCACAGACCAATCCACCTAGTAAGTTCTGTTAAATATTTGGTCTTAATGGTTCGCACATTTTTTTTTTTTTTTTAGAAAAATATACCCATGAAGAGAGCTTGGGGTGGTTTTGGTTGGTTTGCTCTGGTTTGGTTGTAGCTGTTGTTTTCCAATTTCATGCAGTGATGGATAGACAATAACAGCATGTGGCTATTTATCCAACATGTGTGCACCCACATGCATGCACAAACTCCCTCTGAGAACACTGCACTCTCCATTAGAGCAATGTGCTTTGGATAAAGGGGGAAATGAGGTTTGAGGTTATATAACTTGTCTCTGAAAACTTCTAATACTAATTACCATTTATCTTGTGGATGCTTCCTATATGCCAGGTACTTTCTCTACAATATCTCTAATTCTTACAACAACTCTGTAAAGTGGGGAAGATTTTCTTATCATCAAGGCAGCTGAGACTTAGGGGATCAATAACTTACAAAGAGGATTTGAATTCCAACCACTCCTAACTTAGCTCAAGGGAAATTGTATTAAATACCAGTAAACACACACAAACAGTATAGGATAAGTTATTTAAACATAAAAGAAATGAACAAACAAAAAAACATGTGAAAGAGAAAAATAAAAGGTGGACATTGTATAGAATCTCAAGCCAAGAAGGAAAAAGGCTTTCTTCCAGTTATTACTGATGCATAATAAATCAAATCAAACTTGGTGGGATAAAATAGTAACCATTTTATTATGCTCATACTTTAGTGAGTTGGAAATTTGGAAAGGGTATAGCAGAGATGGCTTGTCTCTGCTCCAGCATATCTAGGGCCTTAGCTGGGAAGACTTGAAGACTGGGTGGGGTGACTCAGGGGCTGGAGTATGGAACCAACCTCAGGCATTTTCACTCATGTCTGTTCTTGCTGCCAGCTGCTACTCGAGATCTCAGTGAGAACTGTCAATCAGACCTCTTTACATACCTCTGCAAGTGGCCTGGGCTTCCTCACAGTGTGGCAGCCTCAAGGGGGTTGATAGTTTTATGTGGCAGCTCAGAGTCTCTAAAGCAGATGTCTCAGCGGACATGGCAGGAACTACAATCTCTCTTTTGGTTTAGTCTCCAAAATCATACGATGTCATTTCTGGTATACTCCATAGGTTAAAAGTGAGTCACAGTCATTTAAAATAAAACCCCTTCTTTCTTACCCATTTTCTAGGGTATAAGATAGATATAAGAACTAGAAAAGAAAAGTGATCTGGATGGGATTTGGACTGTTTCAAGTTTCCTGAGGCCTCGGGTGGTGGCTGAGGCGGTGGTAGTCAGGGAAACAGGCAGTAAGTATATAGTAGGAGGCTGAAAAATACATCATTTAAACTTTTTTAAAAAGCGTTTATTTGAAAAATCAGATTACAATAAATTCTTTGTAAGTAGGGCTCACTTATTCCAAATCAGGGCTATCTGACCATGGACAAGTTAAAATGTCTTCATGCGCTATCTATAAAGAGAGGCTTCCTCAGCAATTTAATCATGAAAACAAGATGCAGGATCAGAGAGTGTTTGTCTATAACCAACTTAGGAAAAACTGTTCTTGAGAACTTTAGCACTCTAATCACTTTAATTGTTTGCATGCCAATTAATTGGCATTGCTAATTATAAATGAGTTATCTGTTCATTAAAGCAGGCTTAGATGAATATCAACTTAAAAGCCCTTAACAGTTAATGTGGATTGCTGTGTTATCTGCAAATAAAAACTGCATTCCTTTTAAAAATGTCTATTATAAGCACAAAAGTCTACAGTTTATTTCTCACCACTTCTGATCCATTCCAGTAGGCTGATGTACTAAGACTTTAGTAAATAAAACTTGAACTACAAGTGGTACAAATGGTGAATGAGAAGAGTTAAAGACATTTCGGTGGAAAGAGACAAAAGCAAAACTATGGGAGAAATGTTTTGAGCTGTGTTTGTAATCTGAGGGTATAAGTCTGAAGAATGAAGAGAGAGAGAATAAAAAAATACTAGAGAAAACAAAGGAAGCCAATTGATGATGGTCCCAGCAGTGGGCTCTGGGGTCCCTGTCATGATTCACTTTTGAAAGGAGCAGCTTTGTTCTGATTCTTTATTGTTGTGTAACACATTACTCCAAAATTGAGTGGCCTGATGAAATCTTCCTGTTTTGCTCTCATTTGACATTATGGACGAGGAATACAGGAAGAGCTCAGCTGGCCTATTTCCCCTCGATCCATGTATTTTCAGCTAGGACAGCTGGGACAGGATGATCCACTTACAAAACAGTTTCTTCGTTCACATGTGTGGCATCTCTGTGATTGTTGGCTTCTCTCTCTACACAAAGTATTATCCTCCATGTTCTCACAATATGGCTTGAGCTTCTTGAATAGTGACTTCAGGATAGTTGGACTTCTTGTGTGGTGGCTCAGGGCTCCAAGAAACAAAGGCAGAAGCTGCCAGTCTTCTTAAATCTATACCTAGAACTGGCATGATGTCTCTTGGGCCCATAATCTATTGGGCAAGGCTGTCATTAACAGCCCAGACTCAAGGAGAAGAAAATGAACCTTATCTCTTGATGAAAGGAGTATCGAAAAATTTTCAGCCATGTTTAATCCACCACAAATCCACCACGAGGCTGGGTGAAACGATATGATATGTAAAGTTAGGAAGGAAAGCAGTGAAGGAGTTCTCACCTAGTAGCCTCTTTATCTTGTTTTTAATAACCATTCAAAGCTTCTTTTTATTTGAAAAATAGAGTAGTATAAAGGGTGACATTCTAAGCACTTGCATCAATCAATAATAGGACAAGCAGTGATGTAAACTAAGTCTTTGGAAGGAAGTTCTATATTTTCTCCATCTTAAAGATTTGCTTTGAAAATGATCTCAGCATAACCAATTCCCTTTTGTGTGAACCAATCAGTCTCTCTTTCTTTCTCTGGTGTTACTTCCTCCCTGTGTTCCCTAAATGTGGACACCCATACTCAGTCCTCTGCTCGCTCTTCTGGTCTCTATCCTTTTAGATAGATGGTCTAATTCCTTTCCACCTTCATCAGTCATTGCTCACCTGGGATCCAACTCACCTGCCAAACATTACCACCTAAATGCTATCTCCTAATGTGTGAAGCCAATTTATCACAAAGCCTGTTCACCCTGTGACGTTCAATCTTCTCACCCTCATTTTCCTTGTCACCCTGACTAAAAACCTTGGCATGTTGTGCTGAAGGTGGAGTTGTCCTCCCTCTACCCTCTCCAACTACATACCCTTAGCAAATTAGAGTCACCAGGTCACATAAGTTCCTAATTTGTAACATCTCCTGAAACTGTCTCATCCTCTCCTATTTCCACTGCCCCGCCTTATTGAGCCCTTATCATTACATGCCTGACACATGTTATTAAATCTGTTATAGACCTCCCTAATTCTACACCCCTTTTTCACACTCCTGCCAAATTAATTCCTCTTCCAGTTTAGCAATTACATATTGCATTCCTACCCTTTTAGTATTACATTTAAATTTTTAACAGTTACTTAACAAAGGTAATCAATATATCTATTCTCCTTCTAAATAATAAAAGGAGCTTAAATGCCTTAAACTTCCAGTCACTTTCATCTCCTTTTACATGTTATTTCTGTCTAGTAATCTAGTTCTATGATACATTTATATTCTCTTAGTCAATATTATTGTTTCTTTATTCAGTCAATAAATATTTAGATTTATCCACATATTTAACAGTTATATATGTATCATTACTCCTTGCATTTAATTTTACTCTTCATGAAGTGCATCCTTTTTATACTAGTGCTTCCGAAACTTGACATCACAATAGAATCATCCAGTAATATTTTTGAAATCTCAATTCTCAGTCTGTATCTCAGAACAAGAAAATATACACCTCTGGGGGTATATAACACAGGCATCGGTATTTTGTAAGTATCCTGTGGGATTTCAATGAGCAGCCAGAGCTGAGTGCCTCTGTTTTTAAAAAGTCCTTCAGCAAAGTTCTCTTAGCAGTAACTCTTCTCTGTTTTTTTCTGAAAGTGTTTATAAAGACATTTACTTTCATTATGGAATTATAATGAATATGAATATAAAATTCTTTATTGACACATATTTTCTTTTAGCAGGTAGGAGATGTTATTCCACTGTCTTCTGGTTTATAGTCCCTGTAGTGAAGTCTGATGTCAGTCTAATTTCCTTCCTTATTAGGTAATCTTTATTTGCATTATAGTTATTGTGTTCTCTGTCTTTGAAATTTTTAAATATTTTATTTATTTATTTTTAGAGAGGGTAAGGGAGAGAGAAAGAGATAGAGAGAAATGTCAATGTGTGGTTGCCTCTTGCATGCCCCCTACTGGGGACCTGGCCTGCAACCCAGGCATGTGCCCTGACTGAGAATCGAACCAGTGACCCTCTAGTTCACAGGCTGGCACTCAACCCACTAAGCCACACCAGCCGGGGCTGTCTTTCAAACTCTTAAGTTTCATTAATATATCTCTGAACAGGGAATTCATTTTAAAATAAAATTAAAATGTTTGGAACTTATTTGCTGAATCTGAACATTTACATGTTGAAACATTTGGGAAAATTCTCAAGGCATTACCTCTTCTAATATTATCTTTCCTTCATTTTTTCTAGTATGTCCTCAAAAAATCCTATTTTATGTATCTCAGTCCTTCTTATTCTATTATGTCCCTTAATCTTACTTTCACATTTTCCTTCTTTTTATCTCTCATCAAAGATCTTCCAATACACTTTTTTATGCTTCACCCCGACCTAATATGCTACTTATCCTAGTTTTTGAGTTTTTATTTTTCATTATTTTGTTTTAACCTCTACAAGTTTTATTCTACTCTTTACAAAACTGGCTGATAATTATATAGGCTTCATTTCTTTATTGTACTTTCTATTCCTTCTTTTGTGTCTTTAATCACTTTAAACAAGTTTATTTAGAGAATGTAACCAATAACTCTGAAGCCTTCGGGACTTCCTTTGTCCCCTCTGGCAGGTTATTAACTTGTGGCAGATTGGTTCTTTGTGTAGATTAGAATCTTGAATTATGACCTTGAGTTTGTCAGTGTTTTAGCTGCAGGAATCTTGTGAAATCTGAATTTAACAGATGTATTTCCAGAGTAATGCCCCATATGTTTTATTAGTCTGTTACCAATTTCATATTAACTTCTTTGCTTGGGTTTCCTGAAATACACAAGTAAAGATAAGATGGTCCTTATGGAATACTCATGAGACACATTTTCTCCCTAGGCAAAACCAGTCAGGTATCTTCATAGGGTTTTCTCTTTTGTTTTGCTTGTTGTCTGTTTGTTTGTTTGCCAGTAGGCAGATATTGTCAGCCACCATTTCACTGCCAGTGCAGACATTTCAAGGATTTGTATGGGGAAAGTGAGGGAAGGCCTCGGTTCAAATACCCTGCTGCAGAAATGCCCAAGGCCTCAATTCCTTGTGGTCTTTAAACTGAAGGCACCTGCTCACTAAGACTAGCAACACATCCTAGGACAGTGGGGTGAGTACCTACTGGCTACTATAATTTTCATCATCCTTTTCATTTTACAGTTTCTGAGTCTTTCTTTTCCTAACCTCTTGAAGACTCTGCTATGCATTTAAAAGAATGTTCATTCTATTTTATTCAATATTTTAGTTTTGTCATCAGAAGAAACTTTCACAGTATCAGATTGTTAATAAAGTTCACCGACTTGCCATGAATGGAAATCCCTGTGCATGTTCCCTCTAACTTCCTGGAAGAATGAATTGTAATTGGTACTGTTGCTCATATTGTTGGACAAGCAACATTATTTATTAAATGATATGTTAACCAAAAGAGTAAGGATGTTTTGTAATTTAAAAAATATTTTGTTTTTCAAAGAACCTAACAAGTAAAAAGGAAACCAAAAACATAGTTTTAGGCTTGACTACAAAATATTATTTTCAAACTAAGTTAAATACTGGCCAGGGTTTGTTTGAAAGAATAGTTGTGAGCTTTCTTCCTGCCCTTTACTCTTTAAGAATAAAATAAGGCATCTTAAAGGGCCAACAGGTTAAAGCAACCTAGAAAATGATCTTTGGGGAGAAAATCCTGGCAGATCTACAGAGGAACAGTGCAAACAGCCAACAGTTCCCCAGCATTCATAAAAATAAGAGACCAGAGATTGCGACGGACACTGAAGGACCAGACAGTAAGGAGACAGCTGCAGGTCAGTGGGGTCTTGGGGACATGAGCAAAGATAAGAGCAGCGGTGGAATTGGCCGGCACCCAGCGGCCTTCACCGGTGACCAGAGCCCAGTGTGTCTGCCACAGACTCTTCGGGAGCCCCGGAGCCCAGCAGCCCCGGCTGGCAACCAGCACTGGGGGTGTCTGCCACGGACTCTCCAGGAGCCCCAGCACCCGGCAGGTCTATGGTAGACTCTTTGGGAGCCTTGGGCCTGCTGCAGCGTCCTTAAGAGAGAGCCAGGTCATCAGCTCCCTCCCTCCCCATCTAAGCAAGGTTGGGCAACACGGGCAGAGACCTGTCTGCTTGAGTTTATAGAGAGGGTACTAAGGACAAAGGGCCATGTTCAACTGGGGACTCTGTGGTCGCCAGCCTGGGAGAATTGAGAGGCGCATTCTCAGGCTCTGACTCTGATAGTCACCTGTCTGGCTGGGAGTCAGGCTTTCTGAAGAAAATTTTTTGGAAAGTAAACTGGAGGATTCATCTACAACAGCTGCTTGGCCTGCTCCCCGCCCAGCCTGGCAGCTATCCAGAAGATGCACACCTACCCCAGCCCACAGAAAGGACCCCCAGAGGAAGTGCCCCCATGAAGGCCATCACCAATTGACACTCAGCCTGCTGCACCCAGAAAAACCGGTTTGGCCAGTTTTAAACCAACAAAAGATGTTTTTTTGATGGGGGTTTTTTTACTGATTTTTTTTAGTAATCTTGTATCTTTTTATTATTGTTTTATCTTTCGATACCTTTTTGCTCTCCTTTCTTCTTTCCTGTTTTATCCCTGCTTCCTTTCTTTCCATACTTATCACTTTTTCCTCCCTTATCCCGCCTTTTTTTTTGTTTATTTGTTTTCTTTTCTTTTACCCGCAAGTGACACAAACAACTTGGAACCATGAAAAGACCAGAGTTGGACCCAAAAATAGGGTATCCTAACAGTAGAGAGAGACAAATTTCACTTTGCTATAGTAGAGAAGCCACAAGTTGCCGCATATTTGTATTATTATTTTTCATTATTCTCACTTATTTTTATTTTAAGAGTATCTTTGTATTCCTCCTCTTTCTGTATAGGCTTCTTTGCCTTGGCTGGTTATATTGTATCATTTGACAGGTTTCCCCTGTTCTCTCCTCCATAGTGTATTGCTAATATACTATCCTTCACATAACTTGTTTTGTTTAGCACACAACCCACAGTTCAATACCCCCTATTCATGTTATCCAGATCACATAGAGTCTGTCATATGATAGTTGCTCTAATATTATTGTAAATAATAGCTGTTCTATACAACTGTAAATAAAAGAAAAAAAGGTTTTCAGTTCTTTTTTTTTCACCCCTGTGTCGTATGTCCTAGTCTAGCCTTTACAACACATCTCCTGGATCTTAGCCCACTTTACAATTTCCTGAATTCTATTACTGTAGT